GAGAAAGAAATATATCTGTTTTTACATATCTCTTAGCTCAGCATGTATTTTGTTTACATTGATGAAGTTCAAATCCAGATGGTCTCTTTGTTGCGACATATCTCGTAATGTGACAGTACTGGCTACTTTAGTTTCTGTTTAATACAGAGGCCTTTAAAAATGATTTAGAAGTGCGAGCCCATGGCTCACTTGGGAGAGTGTGGTGCTGACAACACCAAGTCAAGGGTTAAGATCCCCTTACCGGTCATCTTTTTTTTTTAATGATTTAGAAAATCAGTGTTGATCAATACCAGTTTTGACTCTGTTTGGTTATCAAGACACATTTCTAGACCCTATGCTTAAGCGCCCCCTTTTCCCATCAGGCAGTTGTAATTTGCTATCCAGTCTACGTGTGGGCATAAAGGTGTCCTTTGATATAGGTGGCCTCCAATTGATAGCTTGCAGACAGTCTTTTTTTTAAATACCATTGATAGTTTTATTAAAATGAATTTTTATTCAAATGTAGATTTTCGTGGAACAGCTTAAAAATCACTGCTTTAAATGATAGGCTCATTTCCCAGTATAAGTACTTTGTACTACCTTTTTTCTTTTTTTCCTTTTTTAACTTTATGAATATGATGCTAGAGAGGCTGGGTTATCTGTTAGGAGAAGCATGAATATTTATTTTGTCCTTTTCTGATATTAGGACTGTCTAATGTAGTAATAGGAAACCGCATTACAGGTTCTGGCTCAGAATCTTAGGATTCGGAAGCTTAAAGGGACCTTGTCAATTACCCAGACTAAACCTTTCAGGAGCCAGATGTTTCTTGTGGTCTGAGGTGGCGTTAGGCAGGAAATGTAGAGAGAAGAGAAAGCAGTGGCCCCAGACTTAGTTAAGATGCTCAGAGGTAAGAGGAGGAAGAAAACTGATTTTTGTTGGAGAAGCTAGCAAAGATAGCAAGGGAACCAGCAAGAGATGCTAGAATGTGTTGCTTGACTAAAGAATCAAAAAGTAAAGCTGACTTCAAGAAGAAAGGATTAGCCAGCAATGGCAAATCCAGCATACAGAAAAGGAAAGATCTCTAGGGAAGCCACTGGAGGATTACTCAAAGACAAGCTTCAGTAGAAAATGGAGATAGAACCAAATCACTTGATAAACAGGGGTTAAGACAGCCTGGCCCCTGTTTTTGAATTATTATTATTACTATGGGATTTGGAGGTGATTGTTCATAAGTTCCCCCTCAGTCTTTTGTAGGGAGGGATTTGCTTTCAGAGCCCTCCAATTTCTTTTTTTTTTTTTAAAAGATGACCGGTTAGGGGATCTTAACCCTTGACTTGGTGTTGTCAGCACCACGCTCAGCCAGTGAGCCAACCGGCCATCCCTATATGGGATCCGAACCCGGGGCCTTGGTGTTATCAGCACCGCACTCTACCGAGTGAGCCACAGGCCGGCCCAGAGCCCTCCAATTTCATATTTCTGTGAGATTTTTAAATATTTCATGTGAAAATGTAAAGGAAGTGAAGGAAGATATGGGACAGGAAATTAGTGGCCTCCAAAGAAATGTGAAACAAGGTGAACCATGGTCAGAGTTAGACCTGGTCATATAACCAGAAACTACTAGGAAGAAAGACAACAGTCCTCCTGTGCAGAGGGAAAAGTCACGTGTTGATTTGCATTATCTGNGAAGAAAGACAACAGTCCTCCTGTGCAGAGGGAAAAGTCACGTGTTGATTTGCATTATCTGTCAAACCCTGTGCTAAACTCCCTGTCCTGCTTGATTTTCTCTAGGGTAGAAGGTGTGGTCCAGGAAGTCTGTTGCCTGGGCCAGCTCTAGCTTTCAAATGAGAGGTAAAGGTTAAACCTTTAGATGTCCCTCTAGTCTCCAGGATAAAAAAGAGAGACTAAAGACAAACTCTTGATTTGGGAATTGGGCAGTCTCAGCCAAATTTGTTCTTCCAAGGTTTGCAAGTAGGTTTTGTTTTTGTTTTTGTTTTTGTTTTTTAAAAGATTACCGGTAAGGGAATCTTAACCCTTGACTTGGTATTGTCAGCACCACACTCTCTCCCAAGTGAGCTAACCGGCCATCCCTATATAGGGATCTGAACGCATGGCCTTGGTGTTATCAGCACCACACTTTCCCAAGTGAGCCACAGGCCAGTTCTTGTGAGTAGGTTTTTAACTCAGAACGCGCTTTTCATATAGAAACTGTGCTTAAAGGCATACCCTGTTAGAATCGCACTCTTGACTCTAGAATGCGTGGGATACATGTGTTGGGGAGGAAACATAACACCCTAGAACATCGATTCCATGGGGAGCATTCTGAGTTTGTGCCATGTGAGGGAACAGGTACCCTGTAGTGCCTGCAATAAGCAATCTGTATTCCCTTATCTTTTTTTTTTTTTTTTTTTTG